ACTGCCTACCGTAATCAAAATACTGTGATCTAATTTTTTTTTTAACCCCTGACGATTAACTTTTATTTTTTAACCCTCAGGGATTCCATTTATTTAATTAACTAATTTAAATATTTTATAATTATATATTTTGCTAGCTGGGGTGGGTGGGAGTTATGGGAAAATGGGGAATTTACTGTTAGTGCTGATTACTGCTAGTTAGGGGTTAACGGTAAAAAAAAAGCTTAGAAAAATGTTAAATCTAAAAAAAAAAAGTTTTAGGAAAGTTTAAAAAAATAAATAAGCAAAACAAAAGTTTAAAAACTAGTTTTAAAAAGTAAAAAAGTTTTAAAAAAGTAAAAAAAAACATTTAAAAACGCACATTACCACTACACCTGGAACAAACTAGAGAAAAAATTATCCTACGCCTTTTGAATTACCCCAGGGTGTATTCTTTAATAAACAGTATGTGTTTGTGGGGAAGTTTCAATAACCAACCATCTAAACTACTCCAAATTGGAACATGGACACCATAAAACTTCAAAGTTAGAAAAAAACTGAATGGCTGCGTCTCAGATGTGCCCCTTCAACATCCACATATACCTGACAAAGGTACATACGGGGGTATTGCTGTACTCAGACCACATAGCTGAGCAACATATGAAGTATTATACAGTCGTAGCACACATAAGGTTTGCAAAATATACTGCGCTTATTACCACTACACTTGGTGCAAGCTAGCGGAAAAATGATCCTACGCTAAGGTTCAAAATATGCCTTTTGAAATAACCCGGGATGTCTTCTTTAATAAATGGTATGGCTTTATGGGGTATTTGGATTATATAGCCTGGTAAAATACTCTGAAATGGGACATGGGCACAGCGTAAAAATATAAAGTTTGAAAAAAACTGGAATGGCTGTGTCCCAAATGTGCCCCTCCAGTGTCCACATATACCTAGCAAAGGTACATACGGGGGTATTGCTGTACTCAGCTGACATAGCTGAGCAACATATGAAGTATTATACAGTGGTAGCACACATAAGGTTTGCAAAATATACTGTGCAAACTCACTTTGTGTGTCAAAAAGGCAGAAAAAATGCTTATTACCACTACACCTGGTACAAGCTAGCGGAAAAATATCCCACGCTAAGGTTCAAAATATACCTTTTGAAATACCCTGGGGTGTCTACTTTAAGAAATGGTAGGCCTTTGTGGGGTAGTTTGAATTTAAAACCTGCGAAGATGCTTGGAAATTGCACATAGGCCCAGCGTCAAAATTCAAAGTTTGGTAAAAACGGATATGGCTTGGTCTCCTATATGGCACTGTAGCTTCACGAAATAGTGCCAAAGACATTCATTGGGGGTATCTTTTTACTCAGAAGACTTAGCTGAGCATAATATGGGGGGGTTTGAACTTAGTGGCACATATAAAATATATAAAATGCCCAGCAAAAATGCAATCCGTATGTAAAAAAGCACAAAATTATTTTTTACCACATACTTTGGCATATATTGGTGAAAAAATGGGGGCATGTTAAGGCACAATATGCACCTTATGAGATACCCTGGAGTGCCTCACGAAATAGTGCCAAAGACATACAATATCGTTGTACTCAGCAGATGTAACTGAACACAAAATAAAACTTTGTACAGGAATAGCACACACCAACTTTACAAAATACACATGAGAATTTGTGTGCCAAAAACAAAAAAAAACACAATTTTACTCCAATATTTATCAGAGGTTGGCAGTGAAATGGCTACGTAGAAAGTGTCAAAACAATCCTAAGTAAATAGCCTGTGATGTCTACTTTATATAAATATATACTTTTGTGTGGCAATTTTGTTTTCTATTATGGCTATTAAGCTTTCCATACAAACATACCAAATTCTAAAATCGCTCCACATTAAAAGCTTATTTTACTCCTTGTGTTTTGTGACCTGTAACTACCAAAAAAAACTTAAAACCCCAGACACATTATATATTCTGTAAATCAGAACAACTGAATTAATTTATTTTTAATTACTGTGTGCACACATTATTATTGCAAAAACTGTAAAAAAAAACACACAAATTTTTTAATTATTTTTGCATTTTTCTGTATTTTTTTATATTAAATAAGCATATATATATATATATATATATATATATATATATATATATATACATATATTACATCAAATTAAAGCCCTTTCTGTCCTATAAAAATATAATATGTGTCGGTGCAATAAATTAGTAAAATGCAAATTGCAGTTGAACGTAAACAGCAAAAAATGCTGTTGTCATTAAGTGAAAGACAAGCTTCTGAAGCTCTGTCCTTAAGGGGTTAAGGTAAGGTCTTGTGTTTTATTTGATTTTATTGGAAACAAATAATGGTTTACAAGAACAAGGTTGTGGAGGTTTACCTTAAGCTCTGGTTATTGGCTTGGGGCCCCAGACACCCAGTTATAGGCAATGGAGCCATTCGGTCCCAAAGACTGGACATCCACTCGTCCACATCTGTATTATTTTACAGATTTCACATTCATTGACCCAGGGGCTGGCCAACCTTGTTGTTATTATGCCATCACAACAATGTACAAGAGTAAGACAAAAATCATTGACATCTGTCCAGTATAATTGCAATTCACTGCCCAGCACCATGGGCGAAGGAAGAAAGTGCTATTCTTAGGGTAGGCAATCTTTGGCACTCCAGATGTTGTGGACTACATCTCTCCTAATGCTTTGCTAGAATTGTGTCTCTAAGAGCTTTATAGAAAATCTAGTCCACACCATCTGGAGTGCTGAAGATTGCCTACCCCTGTGCTATTCTTTTAGTACCCCGGGTTCATTTGTTTAGGAGGAGTAGTGTTGATCTTAGGAAGCCGCATATGCCGAGTATCATGTGTGCTTTTTCATTGTTAATAGGGATCCTACCTCCAATTTTCTAGTGTTCCCTGTCCTTTTGGCACCTCAGTGGAAAGCTGTATAAAACAACGAATGTTACACATGCAGTGCTCGGTGCCTAGAAGTAGCTTCAAGATTCAAGGGTACTGAGAGCTGCTTTTAGCATGCGTTGCTGCAAAACTCTGTCAGGTACCATTGCAGTTTATTATCTTGCTTGGAATATTTCCCTCTGGTTGTAGGCTTTGTTAGCATAATGCAAATTTAGTTTTATTTATTCTTTCAATACAATTATCATATTAACTAGTAATAGCTCTTGCAATCATTGGGAAATTAGCCATCAATAAACCAAAGCCTCTTTGATCGCATTTTTAACGTTTGATGTGTAAAACAAACTGACCTTCACTTAAACTTTTAAAGCCATCAAAGCTGGTTAAATGATGTCCTAGCTCTTCTCTTCAGAACCGTTATCCTCTGATATCTCCTTTACTGGCTTAGGCTAAGTTAAAATACAATTATCCATCATTTTTCACATGTACTCCAAAGCCTATTAAAATATCCAAATTTAAGTATAAACAGCAAATAAATAATTTGCTGTATAAATTATTAATTTGCTACTTGGGTTTTGGAATCCATGTTTAAACTCATTGGAATGTAGAAAATATGCCAAACTTCTTTTTTGATGGAAAAACTTGCCCTTTATGCTCTAAATGGGATTGTTAGTGAAGTCTAAGAATTGTCAGATTTACAACATTTACTGTTGAGATGTAGAGCAAAAGTTTGAATGAAGCGCACGTAACCTCAAACACGCGCAATAGACATCTTCCCATAATTCTGTGTGTGCATGTTCTTCAGGCAATCCTAGTACACCCATTTGCACTTATGGGATTCCATTATTTAGCATTGCATGCCAAGCTGTGCCATGACTGCCTTGTAAAGGATGTAAATCGAAAATACGCAAAATACTATTACTTGTAATTAATTTCATGTAATTGTTATTGCGTGCACCAGTTTTCAAGAATGATATGGAACTTGAAACAAGGCCAAAAGATTGATGGAATACCCAATATTAAACTCAGAATGTGATTTTTACAGCTGCCCAATCTTAAATGTTAAAAATCAGGCTCTAATTGAAGCAGCCTCAGTGTATGCATACATTGGTGATAAAACAAATTGAAGAAAAGGAGTGTCTATAGTTACAAAATCAGCCATGTTTTCTGAGCCTTATCATTTCTTTATGCTGATGAACATTACAGAAAAAGTGCTGCCCTGTTTATTCATACAATGCAGCCAGGGAACATTTCATTAATCAAAGAACTACTTTGATCAAATAATTTTATTCCCTTCTAAAGAATAGGAGTAAGACATGGATTCCAAAACTCCCTCCCCTGCCAGCTGCCCGCACGGTGCCTGCAGACCGGGGAGAGAGATCGGCCGGGGGGGATCCACCAGTGATATATACAGCTCCTCTGTGTGCCTTTTTGTCTCCCCCCCAGTCCCTCTGTATGTTTCTTTCTCCCCCTCACTGTTCCTCTGTGTCCATGTCTCCCCTCTCCTTCCCAGTCTCTCTTCCCCTGCTCTTTCTCTGCCTCCCCTTGTGTGTCTCTCTCCTTTCTCCCTGTGTCTCTCTTCCACTGTCTCTTTCTCCCCTGTGTCTCTCTCTACCCCTCATCTCTCTTCCCCTCTGTCTTTTTCTCCCCTCTCCACCATCTCTTTATTCCCCCTCTTTCTCCCCCTGTGTCTCACTCTTCCCCCTCTGTCTCTTTCTCCCTCCTTTCCCTGTGTCACT